TTAAGTGCAGAGGACACGAGGGTGAGGTTTTTACCTATCGCTATTCCCAAGAGGACACGGTCATATCGGCTAGACATTCCCCGAGGCCGTTTCTTCGACTAGGAACTACCGTTTACCCGAGTAACATTTGAATATTGTATATGTGTTCATACTCGCGTAGCCAGACTTTTTTAAAACTTTAGTAGATGTCTTGATAAAATTTTCGTTAGTCATTGCTTGTCTGCATAGGAACAGCTACATTGCAGACACTTGTAAAGGTGCACACGAAACATCTACTTCGTGTGCAGCTCCCACCCTAACCAAAATTGTAGTAGTCTTGAGAGACATGTAACTTCCCGCTGAGAATCGATGCTCACCGGTTTTTGTGAATCGATTTTTGTGACCGTTTATGATGTTCACCTGCCGTTTGACACAGTGGTTATTCCGGGTATGGTTGCTGCATGTTTCCCCACATACCATCGATCAGTATTTTTGCCTGCTTTGGCAGCCCCCACATCGGGCTGGATAATCAGCTGTTGATCATGGGGAGAATCACGAGAATTCGAAGTTACACCTCGTGCGCGCATCACGTGCATGCCTGACAGCTGAAGAATACCAGCTGGCTAGCTTACTACAATCAGAAATCAGTTGTCGCACGTATGTATTCCACGCACTTCACTTTTTGTGAAAAGCCGCCATGCAACAATCCATCCTTCCACATTCGCGTTGGGTGACGTCATTCGTCCTGTTGTGCGCTAATGAGCACAAAGCAATTCGTTGTGCTTTTATTGTCTGTTATGCTGGTTGATTTTCAAAGCATACCGTCCTATATTACAGGAGCTATTGTTACCCATCTTTTCTGGACACTGCACGATGCGGTAAAACTAGGATGGGCGGGTCCAGGATAATGGGGGGGGGGGCAAATCTAAGGACAAACAGTCAACTCCAACAAATATCGATCGCAGTGGTCATCCAACCATCCTAGCCGACTTTGGATAGCTTGATAGTGTGTTGAACTGGACAAAATTTGGTTGCCCATATTGTTGGCGAGGTAGTGATCGGTGATACTCTTTCCAAGGGCAAGGCTAATGGTTGGCCAATATACGTGTTTGGGTCACTGTCAGTCAGTGATTTTAAAGGATAAGCCTGTGCACATCCTTCCGAAAGCGTGCTGACGTCCCCGAATGCCTTCGGATGCTAACATGAACATACTCGCTGAGCTGGCTAGCGTGCCGGGTCAATGCATGGAACGTTTCCATATGACAATCTAATCTGGAACCAGAAAGCTCTTTCCTATTAGTCCAGTATCGAGTGATCCACACTGAAAAATACTGTCGCAAATTTTGTATGCCTGTCATAGGCTTTACAGAAAGGTTACTTCATTGAAGTGATTAATACCATGTTGACCCAGTCCATGCAATACGAAAATGCTCACTCATTTGCTGATGAGAAGAGTTCGGAACTGAAAGCCTGTCTAACTGCCAGAGCGTGTGTTTAAGTTTCTCGTGTGTCTACATCGTCAGATGGAAGCTGCAGTCGATCTCTCAGCGACTGCGATTTTTTCCCACCTGCAACTAGCGCTGAATATGCTTAAACACTGATCGATCTGCCTTTTTATCGTACCTCGCACACAGACTAGACCTCCGTTGTAGTATATTTTCCCCAACAGACAGCGACCAGTCTGATCAAACCCAACTCCTTCTAGGGACCAGAAGTTCTGATGCGTCCCATCCACCTGTTCATGAACGAGGGTTATTACTCTACATGCAGATGTCAGACCATCCATTGACCAGAGTGAAGCTGGAAAGCCACAGCAATTGGTCTACCTGCTTTCCCGTCAAGCCCTGATTTCTGGCCGTGACTGGTTGATTCAAGGGCGCGTTACAGCAGCTACCAAACTATCCGTGAAACAACTTCCATTAACGACAGTTACATTGCTGGTCGCCATTTTTTCGTGTACATGTGTGACAAAACCTGTGGTGTGCATTCAATTCCGGACACTTAGTTGGACCACTGACATTAGAACCTCTCGGTATACTTACGAATAGAGATGCTATGTGTACTTATGCCTCCCCCCTCCAACAGTAGCGTGGTTAGTCAGGGTAACCAAACGTTTCCTGTCTTTCGTCTCTTTGCTTATCCGCAGTATAAAAGCTAGCTCCGCATGGAGTATGTTTGGCAGCCTCGCAACTGGTGGTACAGGGTAAGCTAACCTCGCCATCACTCTATAGATGGGATAATCATTTGTCTGCTTGATTTTCTACTGAATCACCGCATCCTGGAAACAGTAACCGGCACGTGTCCACCTCGCGTTCAAGATCAAGTACTACTGGACTGGTCAGCTAACATTTAGCAGCGTTCCATCGCCTCCATTGAAAACTGGCTGTTGGGCGTCCACCTCTTCCTTACTTGTCCAGTATGATTAAAAACCAATGACTCGATTTCCACTGATGGTTTTCATTATCAACCAACATAGGTCTGCTGTCTGTGCATTTTTATAGTTGATAAATACCCCAAAGGCTAGCTTTATTTCAACAATGGTTTAAAAGAGACTGCTTTGGGTATCAGTAGCGTAGCATAAAAGCCTTTGTTGGTTGAAACTATGCTATTCGGGTTTATCAGGAAGGTCAGCTTCCTGAAAGCCCGAAATCTACCGAGACTCCCAGCTCCGCCAGATGTTGACCAGACAGACAAAACCACCTCAACATGCAGCGCGTCACAGCCTTGTATCAAACCCAGACAGTGCGAGTCAGCGTTGATCAAGGTCAGACAACGCCCCCACAATATGCAGCACGTCACAGCCTCGTACCAAAGCCAGACCGTGTGCGTCAGCATTGGACTAAGTTCAGACAGTGTCCTTCCAATAAATAGCTTGAGACTGCTGTACTTTTCGCACTCGCACGCACTCACGATCTTGCACACGCTTATTCGGAATATGGCTGTTGTGCTCCTTTCTGTGCTTTTTTTCGGCAACTAGGCACTGGAGCGGGTCAGCAGCAGGTACCTCAGATTGGCGAATCAGCAGATATAACAGGGTTAACTGTCTATGGGTTTGTTTGGCCTCTGTAGGCATCTGCATTTTTTCTTATGACACGTACGTGCTTCAGACGCATGCTGGATTTGATCATTCAGTCCCTCTCAGCTGTTCAAACATTGACCTTTGGACGCATTTCTACCAACCATTCATTGTAATCTGTGTCTGCTTGCACGCAACGGCGGAATCCCTATAAGGGAAGCCAAAAAATTGTGAGCTTGTTTCATCCGAGCCGATTACATCGCCAACCGGTGACAACAGCTTTTCGTGTCCTGTCTTGTAAACTCATCCACATACGCACTCTACTGGCTCACATGTTGTAACCGCTCACCACCTGAAATTGATTCGACCGTGATGCTTGTATTGTGTTTTCCGATGGTTGAACGTTCCACAAAACAGCCCTTTGTTTTTCATGCAGTGGGTTGTTGGAAGACATTCCGTGAGGTAGTACTGAGATGTAATGTGTTCTGAATGTATTCTGATATCCGAGGCCAAAGTAAGAACTGTCTATCAATCTACATGCATGTCTTAGTGCCTACTCGTGTGCCAGCATCCTCATCACCACTCTTCGTTCTGGGTACAGCTGTGAGCCTGATTTCTACTTCAAAACTGCGCAAAACAGTCGCAGTGCTCATATTGCCTATGTGGTGCTCGCGGTGAAGCCCAGCGGCCATCTATTCTGCACCGGGTATGGTTGTTTTTTGTTCCAAACAAGCTATCTGCAATTTGTAATCTTCTCCAAGGGTCTAAAAAAAGAGGAAACAGAACGTGCGCTGTTGTTGTTCAGATGTACCAAGGAATAATCAACATCAAATCAGATTTGCGACCAAAATATAGGTGATTAATTAGTCGGTCACCTCGCTATACCCTTCGGATTCCAATCGAGTTTTGAATGTGATGGTTAATGTTTCTGCAGGGGGTTAGTATTTCATTTCACCGGTACGAACCAGCTAAAACAACGCACCATATTTTTTTCGCCAACCACAATGGTCGTGGGTTGCCGTAACCTTGGGATGCCCGACCAATGAAAATACACAAGAAGTTCACTTGGAACAACTGATTTTCAGTTTGGGAGCATTTAAGTTTGCGTCAGTGCTACTTTTCGTTATCACTGTACCAACCAAATTCCGGCAGCCGGCAAATGCTGCTTCCACTATATCCATGCCAAAACCGAAGTCAAACAGGCCACGAATCCGGAATAAATACGTAGTAATTTGTCACAACACTATTACTTTTTCAACGACTTACCCGTCGACCACGGCTACATGATTTTGTCGCCACTCTCTATGGTTTACTGCTTCTGCATTCATCGTTGATTTTCGGTGGTCAAGTTTTCCGCAGGAGCACGGAAACTGCAAAACGGTCTCTTTTGTTGTTTTCGCTTCACGTATGAATGTGCTGGCCATAACATCAGTTGTTTTCAGCCGCATACTCTCGAAAGACTTGTGGCTCCGATTTATTCTATCCATTTCAGTGGTAAAACGCAACTTTTTGCACAACCATGCTGACGCGTGCTTCTTTACAATAAGTCAGCGCAGTGTGCTCTTTTGCACTATCCCATTGGGAAGTCTTGGAGGGGTCCACTTGTAATCGATTTTCCAGTTGCTTTTTTGTAAAGAAGCATCGTCTGCTAGCCGCAGCGTTGTCCTACATCGGTTTATTTCCCCAGATCTGAGTAAACTGTACAGTGGCCTTATTTGCTATAGAACAGCACGCAAATTTTTATTCTCTGTCTAGTTTAACTGTTGTATCTCCTAACGTCATCACGATGGTACCTTTTCCTGGCTCCTCATTACAGAGAATTCTTTTGAGAGCATAATTTTGATTAGCCCCACAATTTTCCGAAAAGGTTTGAAAGTTATGGTCCTCTGGTTTCTTATTGGTGGCTTTCCCTTTTTAAGAGGTAAGATTTCCCGGTCGTTTCGTTCTTTGAACACTTCGTCACTGAATACGCCGATGCTGACATGTGCCCTGGGTATTTTTTCAGATTCGGATTGGTCTTTCATGCAATTGGACGATGGTTCCAACTTATCCAACCGATCTCGATCACCGACAGGCACTGAGACATCTTCCCGCTCGCTTTCCAGAGATGAACGTCATTTTGGTTTTCCGAACAGCTTGGACTCTCCCGTACGACAGGATCCCAACGACAGGCCCGTGAGCCGATCAGCTCGGTCAGCCCAGCCTGCGGTAGCGCATCCACGCGGTGCGACCGCCGCTGCCCTTGTTGGCGCCGATCAAACCACACGGGGTGTCGTTCGCCCGAACCCAGTAGAATCACGTCAGGTAGCGGCCCGTTGGAATGCCGCCGTCCATGTCAACGGTCGCCGTTCACATCGCACCAAGCAAAACGTGGACGCCCAACGTGCCAAATGTCTGCGCCGGGGTGCACAAGTCACCACTGGCTTCCAGCGCATTCAAGTTCGCTTGATGTCTGGCGGACAACTGCCTCAGGGACGCAACATCGCAGCAAACAAAAATTAACTGGGCTGCCTGTTTCAGCGTTCATTCGTGTCTCACTCTCCTCTTTTCCCAAAGTAACGTGCTAACTTCTGGTCGTTTGCTTATTTTTGGTCATTCGTGTGGTTGTCTGCTTCCCCTAAATGAAACCCCCCGTGTTTACTATCTCAGTCCGTTTGGTTGCTCGTTATTCTTTTCCTTTGTGTTGGCTATTTACCTCGTTACAGTTCATGTACTTCAGCGTTCTTTACCCTAATCACTCCATCATAACTTTGAAAACTTTAGCGATACATCAATCAAGAAATAGTCAAAAAAATTCTTCGCCTCTCGGCATTGATCTGTGGTTTACTATTTTTGTGCCGTTGCGTTTGTCTCTTTCTTCTTTGTTTTATTTCTTTCGAGTAGCTCATCTACTCTAGTCATCTTTCGCTCAATGTTGGTGTCGTCAATGCACACTTAAATGAGCTGCGTGCCTGTAGGCACGCAACAAAACAAAAAATACAGAAACATATCTTAGCTACTCAAAGTAGTGTGAACTTTTTCGATAATTTGGCTGATGCCTCGGCCACCCAGACTCGCTCTATTTTGCCTTTCGGCGACTGTCTCCTATGTGGAGATGAGTCAGCTCCAATGAAGCCTCAGAATGCCGCTCATCCCACCCGGACTGTGTAACCGAGCGAACTCACGGTACTTGCTTGCATATCGGTCCCTGTCTGGTAAACAGCGAACATACCCGAACCAATAAATTAATCCTGATAAAGATCAGATTTGGAAAAAGGCGTAGTTTGCTTCGCTGGGGATTACATGCTAGATCGTGGTGGCCAGTTAATGCTGTTTTGAAATGTTGGTTCCCCGAGGAGCCTACTATTGGTGATGTTGTGGAGATCCGTGTAAGGCAGGTCTCAAACGGGCCACTAAGCAACCGGAGAACTAGATATTCGCTCAACCAGTCACTTCGAACAATACGGGTATCCGCACACACGCGTATGGAATAGGAAAAGCCACCCAGTGGCACACTGACGATATTTCCTTGACCGATGACAAAACATCCGCGAGTGAACCTCAGCGAATATACCAACAAATAGGGTTTGACTTCCATTGTCTATCGATCGGCCATCACCGCTGTCATTGGCGTCAAGTCAACCGCTGGTTCTCTGGTTTTTGACTTATCGCGTTTTGGCGTTAAAAACACCGCTTCTTGACAGTATGCGTTGATAGACCTAGTAGTTCACTTTTTCAAGTCATGGGTAGCATGTGGTTCACCACGACCGGACTCTTCCGGCAGGTGTGTACATCGTGCTAACTAGACTCGTGATCATTCTTTTTTCGTTCACGTGCCGTTGGATACTGCGCAATCGGTTTTTGCTATCTAAACCGATGCCAAAACATAGATGGACGTTGAGGAAAAGGAGGACAAATGTGAGTGGGTAGGTGCAATACCACTTCTTTTCTGATCATGACTTCGGTGTTCGACGAGCTAGTCTATTTCAATTCGTTGTAGTACAGTTCCTTAAATGTGAACAGTTACCTCGGAAATATTTTGGTTCTAATTACCACGGTTTAACTCATCGACCGCATGACGATAGCCAAACGCACCAAGTAGAAAGTCAAAGACTTCATTTCCATAATTGAAGCTAGATGGAAACTGACAGCGGCAAGACTAGTTTAGCGCGACACGTCTCGTCTGTAAGGGCTTTCATTTACCCAGGGGCGTCTCCACGATCCGCCGTCAGCTGACCGGTGAAACTCCATTGCAGTAAGGATCATCGCTCCCGTTTATGGTCTCTAAACGCCTGGATCGAGTCGCACAACGGTAACAACCGTCCAGGAGTTTGGCGATAAGTCTGCGTTTTGTCTAATCGGTGGCTACGTGGATCAGCAGACGATGTGAACCACGAGCAACCTATCCAAAGCTTATAAGAGCGTGAACTCGAAAAACGCTATGTCTACACTGATTTGTGGTATGGACTGTGATGTAACATTCGGTGACCACGATGGTTCTCTATCCCTTGTAGAAAGTTTTGGCTAAAAAACGCACTGATATCCAGTTGAGTGGCAATAGTCGAGCCGAATCTATCAAAGTTTGAGCTCAGATTGCTGGTGGAGGAGAGTCATAAACGGAGTTAGTCGTGCAAGATCGCCTGCTCCAATGCAGATAAGCAAACTCACGATGAAGTCTAAGCATGTGACTCCTCTTCACAAGGTGGTATAGTTCGAAGTTAGACCGTGATCTGATTAGTTTACTCATATGGACGACCTTTCTGTAGATACGAAATATTTTCATAATTTGATTGGGGTGCTTGCTATGGAGAGTTTCGGATTACAGATTTATGAATGCGACATTTATCCTTGATTGATCCCAGCCAGACTCGACGGTGTGAATGCCAAACTATGTCCTGTATAACTACTCTACAGCGGTTTGTTCACAAAAGATAACAAGGTTGTCATTTCGCAAAACGATACAGATATTGTAGCCCTTAGTGTCCGTTGCCAATTGACTCAGAGGCATAGGGTTTGCAGGGTGTTTATCAGGTGTTTGGGATAAATGCCCAGATAAATTAGCTGTACTCGACACTCCTCATGTAGGTGGCGTTTGACCGTTCCTTGTAAGTGTCCGTTATTGACGTGACAGCATTTGTGCCAGCACCCAAGGGGCACTTGTGTTAACCGCGTTCCAAGATCTATCAAGTCCTTTTACATTGAGTTCAGACGCTTCTTCAAGTTGGTCGATGGTGGCAATGTAGCCATTAGAGCCACACGATGGGAGAACCAGTTTGAACAGATTTGTGAGCTGGATAAAAAGCTTCGGCTATGTGTTCCTCAGTCATTATAGTCCTTCCAGTGGTGAACCCTACTGGCTGGACATCTACTTTCACCCAATTAAACTCTTGCTCCATACCAAATGTTTTTTTAGGAATGGTAGTAGCAGTTCTCTTGGGGAAATACAACGTACCCAACGAAATCTTCTGTCTTCCCATGAAACTGTTTACCTACAACCTTCATACTGACCGTTTTCCGTCTCCAACTTTAAACACAACATGTCGGTTGGTCAAAATTGGCATGTTTTGGAAAAAGACACCCCAATGTGACCAGATGCAGTCGCACCTGACTGCAGCTTTCGTTGGTTGGTACCGTACAAACAAATGTAGCCAACGGTCCTAGTCTTCACCCACAGCACCTTGAAGGCTTTACACTGGTCAGGCAACGCGGTGGGGATGATGACATCAACACTGTTTCCGGGTTGTTGTGCAAGCAGCTTTGTCCGACTGAAAAGAACAAACAGCTGTTTACGTGCACCAAGCAAAGATAAGCAATACGGACGGCTTATTTTTAACCCTGCTTGAGCCTAAAGTAGAGCAAGGCCTTCTTGTGTAAAAAGAAAACAGCTGTCGTCCAGATTTTGCAAACGTACTGAAGAAACACAAAGCACAACATACACTAGGACGCCTAACCGTCCAATTTTACTGCTCGGTGTGCCTGGGCATGTTGTAAGAAAGCTGATGGGAGTAAACTTGTCAGAAGTTAAGTTCAGATGACATTTGCAAGTTATTGCATCTGTCACTCAGAAATGTGGTGGGCCATCACGGCTCGTCCACGAGCCCAAAGGTGACAATAAAACAGGCATCAAAGGTGCAGACAATAAAGCTAGGTACTCCTCATGTGTGTGAAATATGTTCAACATATTCCATCATAGATTGTACACGACGCCTGACTGTGGTCAGTCAGATAAGGGCCGAAAGTTACATAGGTTAGCTAACTTGTGGTAGGCTTTTCAGAACTTTTACTTGCTCCTGATTCCATATTAATCTCGTTAGCCCGGTTTGCTGGACGACAGAACTTAAAACTACCCACGACTTGTCGTGAAATGTGTACAGATTTCGGATGATGTCATCAAGCCTCACTATTTTAATTTGACTATAGAAGACTTGATTTGGCTACAATAGTTCGTAGTGGAAACTGATCGTTCTAGTGCTGACATAAAAAGTGCATTCCTCATATTTCGCATCAGGGTATTTCAATTTCCATCAGGTTTACTAGGAGTCACGAATAGGATGGGAAAATGCTGTGGCCCCAAGAGGAAAAATGCATGCGTGGTTCACAGTTTAGACGGGCTCAACCTGATCCTATGGGATTCGAGTGCCATTGGGGATCCCAGTTCACATGCTGGTCCTTTGTGATTACAATGACTTCACACATGGCCGTAGAGACTTTATCGTAATGTACCATTAACTGTCAGGCCCGCCCGCTTCTCAGGACGGATGCGTTTTTCCAAAAGTTTGCTGATTCTAGCGCTATCTGACGGCGTGCATAGTTGTTTTTTGCCACCCGATCTGCAGTAAAGAGAAACAAGTAATGTGGGATCCAGTGCACAAACCTTGTGGAAAAAGCTTTCCTAATACCTGATAGGACCAGTTAGTCGTGCCACTTTGTGTGTGAAACGGCCTGCGTCCAAACAATGACCCCATCTGGTGTTCCTGTGTTATAGGGGCACGCGAGTACTCCATATCAAATAAGATAACGATGGTGATTCCTCCTGTCAATCCACGACAATCGGCGGTTATTTATCTTTTTTTCTGACTACTCGTGAGTAGCGTGATTTACGCTTGTTTACTATAGCGCCGTTGCACGCCCCCCGGGTTTTTACTTCCGCCCGCACCCTAGTTACTAATGTCAGGACTTTTTTGCCTGTCCGTCTTAGCTTGTGTTCTCGTGTCAACTCCACCTATTTTCAAGTGTCTGCTCTGACGGACAAACAGGGCATCGGGGAACCGGATGGTAGATGAGCGCCTATTCGCTACGCCAGCCCGACTTGGGAGACATTACGGTCGCGTTGCATCTCACTTGATAGTGACTTTTGAGATTTTTAGGCGGGCCTAAGTGCGCATTCCAATTTGACACGTGGTACGTGCTGCTCAGTCACATTGTCAGCTAGAGACTGTGGACAGTTTCCGTTACCTCCCGAACATACTGACTCTTCTGCACCGTTATCTATGTATAACTTACACTGTTTGACTGCCTGTCTCCAAAGTCCTGCTACCTCATTGCCCCCTTTTCCTGCTCCTACCAATCGCACTATTACTGACTGTACGTTCTGCCTAATTAATAGTGTTCATTAACCCATTTTTCATAGAACTAGTTCTCAAAACAGCATCTACTACCCTCGTCCGTCTGTTCCTGCTGCCTACTGAGTATGAACCGCGCATAGACCGATCGCCTGTAGCATCCGTAGCCGTCTGGATGTTACAAATGATATTTTCCTCCACTTGAATGATTCCCTGTCTAAAAAATCTTTCTATGGAATGTAGGTGTGCAAAATCACAATGGCATACTTGAATGCATTGACAAATTACATAAATTCAAGTAGTGGATGAAGTAACTGCTAACCCACTGAAAATACCAACCGAAAACGTCACTCATTCCTGAATCACGGGATTCACACTACGCGGTTACATGTGTTAACTGGCTCCTCGCATGACAACTTCTTCAATGGTCTCATTCATCTTGTGGAGTTATTCTTCCTCTGAGCTATGTATTGATTGTTGCCAACTATTTGGAACGTGAATTAACAAATCTATCTTTTGCTCGCTTGCTTAGCTTCAGTTCGCCATACTCGGTCAAAATACCAATCATATGAAATAGTAAGTGTTTGGTCTTCAGTAATCCCCGCCTGAGAAATCCCAGTATACGCTTGCTTCCCCTCTTCTTTGGTCACTTTTGTCAGTGCCTCCTGAGCACGTCGATTCTATTGAACAAAATGCCGTTTTTTAATGACTCGTGGAACTGCAATTTCTACCTATATGATGAATGTTCGTTAAGCTATAAATTTTCCCCGTGTTACCGTGAAGTCCCTCCCCGGTTGGGGGTCAGTGTTCTGCAGTTTCAATAGCCATGAAGTTGTTAGTGTGTTTTAGCTGACACTTGGCTCCTTCCTCGGACGTTATCCTCACTGTGTTCATTATTCTAGCAGGAATCTTGTCTCCAGTCAAGCTCAAGTATTTTGAGTGTGACTTGTGGCCCAACCAGTAGCGAGTGATTCAGAAGTTCCGTGTGATCGCGGAGAAGGTTTGGGACTTTGACCGGTTGAGTCATGAACAGGGGGAGGCTGAAAAGCCCCGCCTTTATTGAGCGTCATCAGATGAGCGCAGAGGGATCGGACGCATGGCCCGTTGGTTTGCATTTTCAGCTGTTAACCCCACGTTGTAACTCAACTAGCTTCAAGTAATCAAATGTCCTCATGAATTCGAGGACTGAGATGTAAAGTGGTAGGCCAGTTTTCTGGGGATACTAAGTCAAACAATGTAGACTGAGCCTACCTGATGAGTCCCAAGTAAGGCGAAACCGGTCGTGAGCCGTCAAAGAATTTTCAACATCATTATGAGTAGTGTGTGTATGAGTAGTCTGACAATGTGGTTTTTGAACTGAAGGAACAAGCAGTCGGTCCTGCTGCATTTGGTTTCCTACACATTCAGAATCTCTTGTCCAGCATCGCCTCGTTCAACGATTGGTTATTACATCAAACATGACTTACTAGATGGTTCAAGTTAAATCTGCCTAATCCTCCTGGTCATGTTGTTCAATGAACTGGAAAAGACGTAAGCAAAGATCCGTCTGAATTATTGCTTCTATTAGCTCTGGATTAGGAAAAACTAAGATGGTTGTCGCAGTTTGATAAACTGAAGCGATTAAAAGATGTGTGGACCAGTCGCCTCGTGGACCAAGTATGATGTGGCTAAATACGAAGGGAATGTACGCCCTCCATTCATGCATTAAGCGAATGCACAATTCAATGAAAATAACTATAAAGACGGACTGTTTGGATGGTTGTTTCACACTAGATTACATAGTTGCAAGTTAACTGCACCTTTTGTAGTATGATGTGCAATGCTTTCCAATTTGACAATTTATTGCATGGGGGTTTCTTCTAGCCTTGTGTTTCAGGTCAACTATTTAAGTCCCACGTAATGAAGTTTCTATGAAGATCAAATGATAAACTATCATGAAGCGACTTCCCAAATTAATGTGGACTGGAACAATTATCCCCTTTAATCCAGTTTACTAAGCGCATCTTTCCTCACTGCGCAGTGATCATAGTAGGAGGGAGGCCTTTTACGTAACAACATGATAGCATCGTTTAAGCCCAATATACTACCCATAAGGGTGCTGAAAACTCTCCGAGAATCATAAACGAGAGATCGAGCTGGATTCATTTGAGTGTCCTGTCAAAACCAATTTCACGTGCAGATGAGAGTAGTTGTGGAACATTACGGCACATATATTACCAGCACGACAGCCTTGCATCCGTGCTAGAGAGAGGCCGGCTGCAAATGGAGTACGTTGTGTGTTGCTGCGATCTGGACATGTTTAAATCTGTTGAATCCGCCCATACTGCTTCTCAACATGTTCTTTACAAACAAGTTTCTTCGCTAAAATCTCTCCCCTCTGACAAGCAAATTTGTGCATATGCGTAAAGCATGATAAACATGAATGCGAAATTCCCGTCTAAAGCTTTCCAACTATGAGTTCAGTTATATCAGTTAGTTGGAATTGGCCGTAAATGGATGATTGATTGACGAAGGCAGCATGAATATTTTCACGTCACGTTTCTGAAGAGGTTGGATTCAAGTTAATAGTGATCCCTTCGGTGTTACAACCGCGTTCTGGAGAATGATACCGGGGCGATTGGGTGGCTTCCGATAAATGACGTTGAACGATTCGGCCAGTGATACGTATCGACCAAATGGGTCTTAGCGACGCTTGTCATACGTTTGATTTTGCGGCATCCAATATACTACGAAAATGCTCAATCATTGTAAGACAGACGCTGAGTTGTACGACCTACTTAGTTTGCACCACATTTGCAAATAAAACATTAGATGATAAAAGAAGCGTCGTGAACCGGTACCTTATCCGTAATGTCAGTTTTGAACAAACGGTCACCACCAAAGTGAATCCTAAGCTGTGAGGCACATCCTGTCATTTTAGAAATGGCTCAGTTTTCGTGTGATCGTCTCGAAAGCTCAATCGCTTCCGAAAAGTAGCTTGAGGTAGGCGGACAGTTATGATACGGACGGAATTCCTCTCCTTCCTTTCGTGCCAGTCTGTTTTAAATGTCTCAGTACAACTTTGTCCGGGAACCCGTTTGATTCCAGGTCCTATAGATGCCATTCAGATTGCCTTCATTCTATGTTATCCGTCCAAGTTTTGTAGGCCGTTATCCAGACACTTAATTTAGTTTTTATTATTGAATTTTCACAGAGCTGTGGAAGTCTCTCTACTCCCTCAAACAAAAGGTTCTCGGTGTACTCGACTCTGGAGGGTAGGGTTTGGTCTCCTAGTTATTATAAAATCAAGAAACTGACTGTGTGTCGCTGAATTCCTCCGCAGTAAATTGGGTTACTGAGTTGTCCGAATTAGAAGAATTAAGTAGCTCCCGCATAATAGTAGTTGAACCGAAGATCATAGAAACGTTATCAATATAACGTTTATAAAATGAGAGATATTCAGTTAGGTTGAAGTGTTGATACAAATATCACCTAAAAGGGAGCATGCTAGAGATCCCATTGTTATTTCATCTCCTTGTTTGAAGATGGGAATCGTTTATCAAGATGTTTGTTGGATGTACTTCCTAAAAGTAAGTCTTAGCCATAATTCTAAGATCGGTACGCGTAGTGTGATACCCACCTGGCTAATAAAGTAGAAGGTATTATCAACAGTTTCGGATAGGTGTATTTTGGTAAGGATACATCTAAGTGACGCATCTGTTTGTTGCTAAGGTTGTGACTACAACCAACGGTCTCGAACGTACACATTTGTTTCGATGCATGCTCATGCACACTGTCCCGCAAACGAGCAGTTGCATGATGAGTCTAACTGTTCATGTCGAGTATGAAACGTAGAGGACAGCTTTGCTTGTGTGCCAATAAAAGCTCGTACGTGCAAGGAATAATGGTTCCCGTTAATATCACATTTGTGTACTGATATGGTCACGATTCGTTTAAACGATCCGTAATTTATGTCTCCACCTTTTTTCTACTGTCCCTCTTTTGTGTTCGCGGAAACTTGGTCTCATAAGAGAGCAGCTTGAACACCTTGTCTTTATGATGTGTCTTATCGAGAAGGACTTCGTTATATCTGCTGATTCGCCTGTCTGTTGTATCTGACTGCTGACCCGTTCCAGTGCATCACCATCGGCAGCATGACATCCGTGTTCAACACCGATGCTTCATTGCCCTGGCTCCAGTGCCTACTGTCGGAAAAAAAGACTCACAGAAGGGAACACAACGACTATACACCGAACAAGCGAGCGCATGAGTGCGTGCAAGTGCAAGAATACAACAGTCTCAAGCTATCTATTGGAGGGACACTGTATGAACCTGGTCTAATGCTGACGCACATGGTCCGGCTTTGGTACGAGGCTGTGATGCGCTGCATATTGAGGGGGCGTTGACTGTCTGGTCAACACCTAGCGGGGCTGGGAGTCTCAGTAGATTTCAGGCATTCCGTGGCTGCTTTCAGGAATCTGGCCGTCCTGATAGACTTGGACCCAGATTTTGTCTGATCCAGTCAAAACCACACTCTATTAAATAGTTCCGTCTGGCTTTGTAGCTGCTTTGGAGTTGTGGGCTCCTACGGAACACTGGGACCATAACTATCAAATAAACCAGGCTTGAATTGATCTAGTCTCTCATTTGATGTAAACGCTGGCCACCGGATCTGACCTAAAAGTTTTTTCAACTTAGGTGTCGATTTCTAAGTGGTTCAGCTTATTACAGACAAATTGAAGAATTCTGCGCCCAAAGATGGTAGTTCAAATGGGATACCGTCAAGCCCCAAGTTCAAAATTTATGGACATACCGTCCTGGTTGATTTGGATGGAAGCTGAGGTAGACTCCAACATTTTCTTCAACTTTCGTTGCTTTTCCTCCGTTTCTCGTTTTGGTTATTGAGCTCATGACTTTACCGAATTCCTCTGCTCACCTTAGATAATTCCTCAAATCATACAGAATAGATCGCTGTTGACTTACGTCAGCCCTCTTAGCTCCATTCGAATGGTCACATGAAAATACTTATGCTGCCTTCGCTAACCACCCATTCCTGTACGACAATTCCCAACTAACTAATACAACGGAACTCGTATTTCGACATCTTTAGACGAATTTTTTCTCTGTGGATATAACTCCATCTGCCACCCGAGATTTTACCAAGAATAGTTGCTCGCAAGTGCTTAATGGTAGACAATACATGTTTCTCTTTCCCAAACAAGGCCAAGCATAATAGCACCCTACCTAACCTCATACTGGAACCAATGAAACCAGACCTTGTTGATCAGTGAATTTTTCAAATAAAGTAGGCTACTTTCCTAAGAACTGTATCCTTCACGAAGACCGCTATCACCAACGTACTGTGACTTCTTCCGATTCTAGGGCGAAATCAGGTCCCTCGTATGAACAAACCAGCTAAAAATGAATTTCACAGAGCAGAGAGATTTTTGTAACTGATGTAGTGCGTCTACGGTGTGAACAATAGGCAAAAGACCTCTTAAAAGGACGCCTCTTTGAAAGTCCACAACACGGCACCCCACCAGCCACGGCGAAGTGTATGCGATCAAGTGAGCTCAGCTTACTTCCACACAAGACAGATCTCCTTTCCTGTTGGTGGTCCCTCGCATAAAGGTGGCAACAAGTCTACGTCAGTGTATGAAACATCACTTTATTCAGAGAAAATTGCATATCCATTTTGTACAAACTACTCAAATATCAATAAACAGCTTGTTGAAAGTAAGCCCCCTTTTAACGAATCGTATAAGAATAGTTAGAGCCTGTGGGACGGGTCCTGGAACAATGATGACTACCACCGAGAATATCCTCCTGAAGATTTCAGTTTTTCGGTTCCATGAAGAGAATAGCGAGTCGTGGATATTTTCGAAAACCATAGTTTTAAGAACACGTGTATAGCACAGCGAAGTGAACTCTCCAAGTGGTCTTGAATACATAGACGGCTTGCTTGTCTTCTTGAGAAAACGTACTAACTGTAGTCACCAGGCCTGCATTTTCGTATTCTTCTTCCTGTCAGACAGCTTTGTCAAACTGATCAAGTTTCAAAGGAGCCTAACTGAAATGCTGGTTTTGTCCTCTAGTTCTTGTGCAGACGGTGGATAGCTGTTTCTTGTGAATTCACCTATTCTCATGATCTATTCCACACGAGCATGTGAGTTATGCACTTTTGCTCCGTCAACTTGCCATTGTGTACGGAGTTCCCCTATCCTTGAAAACTCAGGAATTTCCACGCTTTCAATCTATCTGTTTGTCATTGTAAACAGACGTGAAGGTTGACATTGCCATTGTCCACTAGACTAATGGCTGTCAGAGACAGATGTACAGTTTGCATAGTAGATTGGCATATGCTACAAAGGAGGGATGGGGGTACATTCCCTATCGATCATCCGCATCCGGCCCATAGTTTTGTCATACAAAAGTACCCAGACCTCTCGAGGGACAGGCGTGTGCCGTTATAGGCACGTGCACGATCGCTCGCGCATTGTTTGCTTCACCGTGGTGCGTGTGTGTGTGTTGACCCACATATTCTCTCCTCCCCCTAAACAACTTCCGCTTATGCACTTCCCCTTCCCAACCCAACCCAATGAACACCAAAGTAGAACACACTCGACTTCCCCTCTCCTCCGTTCTTGTACACACTTGGGCAGATTGTAGACAAAGAGTCCAGCTGTTTTGTGTCGCAGTCTTCTTGAGAAACAACCTGCCTTGGTCGACACGGCTGGATTTAATTCATTCTCTCCGAATGGACTTTATTGATCATAATCTCTCACCCGAGCTTGAGGAGTGTTCCCCGACCGCCTCCCAGTGAACAAAGAGTGGTCTAACAAATAACTGTGCTCACCATTTTCCCACTAGCACGATGGCGAATTGGAGCTATTAGGTTCGCATACTGATGGGAGAACAAACATGAAGCATAAGGACAGTTGCGGTTGAACTAGATGTCATTAGCCTTCTCGCCTTCATCAGCATAAGATGCCTTCCGGAAGTTCTCCTGGATATCATGGCCCATATTATAATCTTCAATATCTTTTGTTCTAGAAGGCACCACTTAGTAGAGGAAGATTTTCGAATTCACCTCAAAATTATGGTGCTAGCCGATCACGTGAAAATGTGTAGGACGACTCCGGAGAACAGTGGCGTTCTTCAGCCTAACGGTATTAGTACACACCTTAGCACACCTTAGTACCTTAGTGTGACCAAGTTCAAAAAGCTATGCTTAAGTCGTCATACATCCTTGGGCAAACATATTTACGCAGGGGGGCTCCGCTGCAAAGGCAAAATACTACCTTAAGACTCTTTAGCGGGGATTTTAGAAGCTAGAGTCCGCAGCTTTGTCCGCATGCATTCATCCTAGCGAGCTTGCCAACCGATAGTCCTCGCTGAAAGGTAGTCAGGCAACGCATGACTGACCGCCAAATACCAGCGGCAAAAGCAGTAAAAGTTGTTAGAATTTTGGCTTTTATAAATGCTATGTGAGAACCTTCGCGTGTTCCTAGGACAACATCGATGCTCCCAAACAACCTGGTTATCATCGATCAATTTCTAAGTCAGCTATACTATTCTCATTTCAACTTTCTTAAGATTTTACACAACTATAATCGGTGATGGCCACCTGAAACTATCTCAGCAATTCAGTAGTTGGGCTGCAGGTAGAACTTCATCAGGCATCATCATCATCATCGACAGCATGACATCAGTGTTCAACACTGATGCTTCACTGCCGTAACGGGCAACGAGATGAATCAACTGAACTACGCTCATTTCATTTTTAGTTTGGTCTTCTTTACTGGCCACTTTCACGAAGCCACCTGAGGCTCGTTACAAACACTTAAGCCACTGTGTGATAAGAGGCGAAGTAAGCATAAAAACCGGACCACTATCGTTTTTGTGACTCCGTGGATATAGTATCCACTGTTGTGATAGCTCTGGAAAACTTCAAAGTATACATCTCTCTGAGCTCGCTTTTTGCCCACTAAAAACACCAATGAACTCAACGTGTTATTGGTTGGGAGGCTTGTGTGTTTGAATGTGCTCAGCTGTAGACGAAGTATGCAGAAGTTAGACCAAGTGATGTTAGTCTCCAGGTTGGATTAACAACCGGCTCTTCGGGACTTTGCTTTATTGTGGACCGGGTATTACCCGCGGTATATTTCACAAAAGCGACTTGACTTCTATGGATGAGGAACGTCCTATTCTAGATGCCTTGAAAGTGTCTAGCTTCACATTACAAATCTGACTAGACTTAAAAACTAGACAGCCAAGGTAAAGCGTTTAGTTTTGTCTACATTGACGCACCCTACTGAAGGTATGATACAAAGTGACCTGGAAAGGCGCTGTACCATGTTAGTGTTATTTCCATACGAGTGTGCATTTCCTGAAAACGTGAGATTCTCATGCAACGTCTGCCGGATCACTTCATGTCTATATATTTGACTGGGGTGCTCCACCTCATCAAATTATGCAAAAACCGTAATGAACTGCAATAATGCTGTCCTGCCCACATCAGTATAACTCGGAAATACTTGAATTGGTTCAAGTGAATTACTCCGAACTTTGGTGAAAATAATTTCATCGTAATATGGAGCTCCTAAGCACCTCGGAAGAAGGTGATTCAAGCTCCATATGTCACAGCTGGCTTTCCTGACTTGTTTTGGCTACTTATTTTTCTTAACCAAAGTTGGAAAGTTCTTAAAGAAAATCCTTCATACTGAGTGCGCAGTATTTACAGGATGTGATGGATTGTATAAATTTCACCTTCTCGTTGAAGCCGGTAAATAGAAAAGGAGGACCGTGAGTGGTCATAGAAAATGTCATTGCACAATAAGCATCAAAATAGCTAACCTCGACCATCAGTTCTAGCATGGGGTTCTTTGAACTTACAGGAAACATGTTGAGTGCCACAACCCTGACTTTGGATGATTGTGACTGTCTCTCCTTCCATCCAGTGACTTGGTGAGAAAGTTTGGCGACCAAAAGCGAGTAACTGTCGGTTGAGGCTGTGTCCCTCGCCGAGCTAAGGAGCTGTTGTTTTGCTTAGAGGAGTCCCTGTATCAAATGGGAGCTCAACTAAACAGCTCACTACTTGAACACCAGATTGTATGTATTTGGAGAGTAAAACATGGGACTGACAGAAACTCTCTCCTCTTGATGGACCAGAAGGGCGAAATCGGCCGTTGGCTGGTGAGCAGTTTTCAGCAACCTTGTGAATAGCGTGTTCTCTCAAGAAAATACTACGCTGCCAACTTGTCTCGAATATCAGTCCGAATGAAACTTGAGGTAGCGTTTGTGTAGCACATTCAGTTGACTAGTGAAATTCACCTGAGTTAACATATTCACTTCCTGTAAACCAAAAAACCGTGTGAACACTCTAAATTCTATGGATCTGGGTGCAGTTAAGACGCGAGGTCATAGATATGCCACGACTTTCTCGTCCCACTCTCTCAAATGGTCACAACTTATGTGAATCGGATTACACTGCTCTTGCACAATTCTACTCACCTACGATTGCACTGGTGTCCGTCCTCACTGCGCATCACGGCCTGAACGACGCAAAAGAGGACCAGAACAACAGTCGTTGTTAATCCTACAACGTTGCCGGCATTTCGTACGGACTCGTTCAATTTGATTGCGCCGGAAACTTGCTGACTAGTCCGTTACTTTTTTTCAGTAAAAACCCCGGTGTCAAACCTAGACACAGCAACTGCACAATTTGGCTTGTCAGCACCGTGGTGATGAGTCATCCGTTTAACGTTGTGCCCTAAGCAGGCTACACCGGAAGACGGTCAAGCAGATGACAGCAGGGTTCACGTGTGCAGCTTATTGATCTTATGTTGTGTGCTTGCCGCGCTACACAGCCACCGACCCGGCCATACCAACATTGTTTATTACTTAGACTGCGCGCGTGCCTTCCGGCTGACACGAGTAAGAACAAAGACCACACGGTGAATGGTGGCTGCACAAGGCCCGAAAACACGCTGGGGCCTGTGGTGCGTGCGCTAGCATGTCAGTTTGCTGTTACCAACTTAACTGTTGCTAACCCTGGCGTTTATTTGAAACGTGTTGCCGCAGCACCAGTGTGGCTTAAATATGGGGTAGCAACCGCACAGTGGCAGCACAGACTGCGGCCACTACGTCTGCTCTCTCATAGTCACATGCTACTGAGGCAGTATCCTGAACGTACTATTCCAGAAGGAATGTCTGCTTGAATAGATAGCATAGCCAGTGTGGCGATTATACCAATTTCACCAAAGGGCACGGGCTGCATTTTCTCGAAGTTCTACAGCGCAGTCGAAGGGAAGTCAAACTCTGGCAGAACGAGGAATAGGTTAGCGTGTTGTGTCATGCGTCAAAGTAACACATCTAACCAGTAACATAGCTTTTGGGGAAGCCAAAGGGTGGGTACTAGAACAGACCCTTATTTGACGTGCCATCCTTATCATCATGGTGGATGACAGCATTAGTACTGATACTGACGTTCCACTGACGCATAACCATAGGGTTTATTGTGAAAACCGAAAGAGAAAAATCCTAAGTTGGACCACCACAACCATGATCAAGTGCCTCCAACTCTTAAATGCTCATGCAGACAACCTAACTAGAAACCGCCAGCACCAACACCACCGACATTAGCCAACTCGCGTATCTTGCAAATGCAGGAAGCGGCACGAGGATCGCATCTTGGGAAGAGGACCGAGTCACCTGGTCACAGCTTGCCCATCTTGCGAATCGTTCAACTCTGCGGGTTTCGCGTCAGACTACATTCAACTCTAATGGCGTTTGTTCTTCGAAAGGCTTCGGTCCTTTTATCTGCTCAGAGAGTACAAATACAGTCGATTAAGAACCCGGATACCCAGCCATTAAAGCGTTCAGAAGCGGTTGTCATGGTGAGGTAAGCCCACCAGTTTAATGCGTTGCAATCTTAGTGTCTACACATAGTTGGTGATTGCCCCAGACTAATTTATCTCAGCCGTACGATCCATAGAATTTCGTGCCTTTATTTCATCATTATATATCAGTTTCATGGATAGCTCACCCTCAAGATGTCAGAAGTTCGTGCAACACACTATCTCATAGCCATTTAATTGAATAACTGATGTTTCACGCTGAACCACGATTCAGCCCGATAAAAGACAGACTTCATATAAATATTGACATTTAAGTCAAATTGAACTGCACTCGACCGAATACCGTAGCAAGCCGATTTAACTCCGCTTCAGAATGCGAAACTAGGGTGTAGTCGTCCGTATACAGAGGCATACGGAAATCAGACTTGTGTAGAAGAGTTTTGACCGGGAAAACATCAGACTGGACTGATGAACATCCAACCGGTAATGAATTGGTATACTCCTTCGTAATGAATCATTCGGCTTAGCTCGATTTCTTCCCTACCCAGGCATGATCAAGAACGGAATAAATGGCGCATTGTGAAGAAACTAAACTTGTCAATAAGGGTTGTGTAGAATTGCTTGCACTATTCTTTTAGACAGAAATCAAGGAGAAGATGTGTGAAGTCCAAATCCAAACCGATAACAACAGCGTCCATTCCAAACCAGTCACCGATGTTAGGAATACTCCCAGGATCGACGAATTACTTTGGGAAGAACCACACCGCAGGCAAGAAGTGACGGGTGAAGGAGTACATTGCCTGTCAGCCCGTGTGAGAGAATCTAGCAAGAACAACACAGATGGTTCATTTGTAAGCCCTGAAGACGTGTTACTCAAGGACTAAATTAATCGAACCCATAATTCGATACTCCAACTGCGAAATAATCTACACACAGGATATCGACCGGATATATTTGGCACGCCTCAAAAACTAGTGTTTGGTTTTCTGCATTAACGGAACTTCCGACCTGTAGTTCACCCCTGTTGATAGCTTTTGAGTATGCCTGACAGTGCGCCGTTCCTATTTTTCATGAGCTCACGGCAGCCATATTATGTGAGTCCCCAGTATCGCTAATTTCATGAAAAGTGTACACTGTTTTCTGAGGAATGAATGTCACTACTTTACCGGAACAGAACCCCTTTAACATCATGTGCCGATATTGGCTTCGTTAGCAGCTGTCCCACAAGAACACTTTTTACATATGGCTAGACGAAACAATCGGTGTCTCAGAACAACAGCTCGTGCGGGTTGGTGTTGGCGAATCCGTAATGAGGCAGTTAGAAAGCGTGTTTTCGGTTGTGTAACGGGTACTTCCATTGAAGAATGTGTCCAGCACCAGAGGCTGCGTTGGTTGGGACATGTGTCACGTATGCCGAACCATCGTTTGCCGAAGAGAGTGCTGTTTTCCATGCCCAATTCAGAGTGGCGTAAACAGAGAGGTGGCCAACCTTTGACTTAGCATAGGAGTATGAAGGAGATCACGAAACGCTTGGGTGCTGTCGGTGCTACTCGCCTTCCAGGATGGGGACCGCGTGATCCTCACTGTGCCTGGTTGGAGACACTACAAGATATGGCTGCCAACCGGTGTCAGTGGCGTTCTTGTTGTCAGTTTCTATCCAGATTGCCTGAGTGAATGTCTGGAGTCATAGGCACCTCGGAGTGATTGTGGTAAACTAGCACTAAGTCCCTTCCCCATCCACCTTTACTCTTTTCTTTACAATAAGGCTTTCAAATAAGTCATGGTTGTACGGCAGTGAAGCATCGGTGTTGAACACTGATGTCATGCTGTCGATGATGATGATGAGACGAAACACACTACTCATGAGTGAAATTATGAGTAATGTGTTAGCTCTAGACACTGTAGGATGATATCTCGAAACGTATGGAATGCAGCATCAGGCGACCTGGTTAAGCACATCCAGTGGAAGGAACCCATTATAAAAGAGAGATTCGACTGGATGCAGTTGAATCTTCTGTCAAAACCAAATTCGTATGCTTATGAGAAAGGTTGGTGAACATGGCTGAGTTGTTTGCTATACTATGTCGTATTAGACCCAGTAAGTTAGTGCACATTATCAAGTTATCTTCTGTCCCAAATTCGTATGCTTATGAGAAAGGTTGGTGGACATGGCTGAGTTGTTTGCTATACTATGTCGTATTAGACCCAGTAAGTTAGTGCACATTATCAAGTTCCGAATCGGAGGCCAAACATACATTTACAGAAAAATTCACGTGACATGTGGGTTATCATTCTTACACTGTTGACCAATCCGTTCTACGCCCACCTGATGTACTACAATGTAGAAGAAAGACGCTGCTTAAGGAAGCTTCATCACATCTTCAGTGCCTGCAATTTCGAATGTTTCCGGACCCTTTGTGAGGATGGCTTGACTACTTTTACGAAGCCAGGTTGCTGAACTAAGTCGAAACCAAACCAGTTTGTCAGATTCTATGAAGAGGAAACTGAAACACGATTGTCAACACCGATCACTAGTGTAAGTGTATTGCTTACTTTAGCTGCATCTGTACTGAGAAGCAAAAAAAGCTGGCGGTTAACTATGCATCTGTGCATTCTCGTTAACGACTCAAGCAAACCATACCTTTAGGAACTAGTCATAAAAAGTGGCTAGTTCCACACTGTCCTTGATCGTCACATACCAGGTGACCCAGGAGGCAGCGTAGATTAAAGCCAGAAATTGACGAGCTAGGAATAGGGCTTTCTAATATATTTTGGCTTTGTATACGGTAGTGCTCAGCCAGTGGCTTAGCCTCGGAAGCAACCAAATTATCGTGAAAATCTGTGCTTTGGCTTACTAGTCTTCATAGGGCGCGACTTCCTCCTGAACCAGTTTCAGCCGAGTAGAAACACATTAAAATGAAGGAATAAAACAATCTGACCACTTGTCTATTAATAAACCTATAGTGAGACCACATCAGGGATATTCGGTGCAATGACATATGCGAGTTAGGTAAGCTATATAAGCTGGAAATCATGACAGTGATTGACCACACCTACTCTTTTAGGTTCGGTGACTTCTATTACTCCATTTTGTTAATTCCAGTTTGTCTGACATTGAGGGATCCCAGTTTCAAAAACCTCCTTGTTTTTCTCCATGCACCCAGCTGATTGTGCCTACTCGTCCGGCCTTCACCATCACGAACATCACTAAGTACTAGTACCTTTCATGTTGTGAAACCAAGAACAGTTTTAAATTTTATCATGTATTGGAGATTTTTCCGAGTCTGCATGAAATTATGAAATGACAAGGGCAAATAGGAGATCCCACGGTGAACGGAGTTCAAATCTGGATGTACTGTTGAGAGTTTATATAGACCAGGAGGGGAAATGTCAATAGCTGTTTCAGGATTGGGAACACCAGAGCGGGCAATTAGTCTCTGAATGAATGTGTTTCAGTGCAACAAATATTTATACGTTGAAGAAGTGCGGAGTTCACTGTCAAATTTCCCGAAAGAGATGCATCTCCGGTTAGACATGAGTTAAATCTGCAAACATAGGCGGGATGAAGTAGTGCTCGGGGTTTTGTTTCGAATGAGGAGATTACTTTTAGAGATGATGCAGTACGTTCGTTTATTTGTTTAAAAACATCATAAACGAGGGATTCAGCTAGGTTCCAGGTGAGTCACCCGTCAAAACCAAATTGATATGCAAGTGGGTGTAGTTCGCCACGTTCTATTGAGATTCCGTCCCGTCAGCAAAGTCGATCTATGCTGAGAAACTGAGAATCCCCGTACAGCTGCTTCGTTCCTAATAGGAATTATCAGCAGTGCACACCGTATGAAATTCCAGGGAGTTTCGAACCCGTGATCTCCCGGCCAGTAGTTTGAACACTTAACAGTCCGGCTACTAGCAGCCGACCATCAGTGGGGTTAGCTCACACCTAGACAGGATGGAACCAAGTGGTCTATCTATGCCTTGTCCACCCACTAGTCATTATCGAATAGCCAATGGAACGTAAACCGAGAATTTCTAGTAACAGAACCAGGAGATTCTCTTCGTATGAAAATGAGGAATTTCAAACATTTCTGACAGACCAGCACACACAATCACTCTAAAACAGCATCCGAGAACAAAAACAGCTTGATATAGGGAAGGAATTGCATCGTACTGGTAAACTAATTTGGTTTCAACGGGGGATCCAAATGAATTTCAGCTGAGTTTCGTTTATGTTATCCTCCATCCGCCAATCCGATAAGCCCCAAGAAGGCCGAAACTGGTCTTGGGCTGTCGAAGATTTTTCAGCAACCTTAACCAGCAGTGCTTCGTCGGTTTAGGTAACAGTTCAAACGATGTTACTGTAATGATGCTGAAATGGGTCGAGTTTATTTGCCGACGCGAAATCATTCCTACAGATGAGTCAGAATTACGACAGAATGTTTCTCTGACCAACGTAATCTGACATAGTCAAACAAACATGTCCCACTCGCTGACTTTAAGGGCAAATTGTGCTGTTGAGATAACGGACTTTTCAAGATCGACTCCAATAAAATGCCCAGTTATATTCGCCCGGTTGGAAGAGCCAGCGTACCCAACCCCTGCTGAGGAAGAATCTTCCGATGACAATTCACCGCTTGGGATGTGCATAAGCAGTGGGACTTGTTTCTCCGAGTCTTTCTGTTGGAAAAGTGGAAAACAGCTGGAAACCATTCTATTCTTGGCACGTGCGACCTCATGTTTCGATACAGGCTCTCCCAATAGCATATCCAGAGTGGATAGGATCGAATATGATGCTGGCGATAATTGTTGCCACTTGTTGATAACATCCTCTGAAATATGTGTTAACCTACCGCGAGTTAAATTATAAAGCCTCTGTGGAGTGGCTACACCACGCGGGGGAATTCTCCCCCACTTTCTCTTCTAAAATGAGAATACCAATGAATAAACTGGCTCAAGATAAATTTTGTGTTATGGAAAACACAATTTGTGAAACTCTCCGCAATGTCCATCCTTCTGGAGTCACCGTATTTGATCGGTCCCGCCGGTGATCGTTGTGGGGAGAGGAATTCTTATTATACCATTTTTAGATGAGAGAAAGCGGTAAAATTAAGGCAAATGGTGGAACAAGAAACAGGGAAGAGACGAGTGCTCAAGATTCACAGTCCAAAACAGAAAACGGGGCACAGAAAATGGGATAAATCATCGCGAACTAGTCTCACTGTTTTAGTCATAGTTGAATCAATTTAGCGAAGAGCTTCCGTGAAGAACATGCGTAAGGTTATCCAGCCTCCAGGCGAATCAGTACAACCCACTAATGGGAGACGAGCCGAATTGATTACACATCACATTCATTGTTCTGGCTCCAGTCTAATCACTGCAATACTAGGACGTGTTCGTCAAAACCTGCTTGAAGTCAGTTAGCTTGAATGACGACGTGACAACCACCATAGGCCCAGCTGCCAGTCATTCATTATACGGCTTCCGCTGCATTCGTCGTTCAGTCACTATGGCAGCTAGGACGCACCGGCGATCAACAGCCAGGCCCAACTGTAAATACCCTCCACCTCATGGCGTCGCAAATTCCCATCCTCCCCTTGAAAATAACAATGCGGCCAAGCCCAGTCGTCATGTTGTGTCTGCACACAATATCGCATACACCTCTTTGACCTCGATCGACCGTGGATGGTCTCGACTGCGTTCTTCAGTGTGCCAAGAGCATTCATCCGCACCGGCTATGCTGATCTGCTAGATAGCATCATTTCACCTTACAAATGATGAGCATGTAATTCAGCCGGATGATAATCAGGGTGGGCGTGGTCGAATTTGATTTCACTGTCAGATTCCTTCGGGTGCA